ATCTATCTATCTATCTATCTATCTATCTATCTATCTATCTATCTATCTATCTATCTCTTGGAATGGTGTTCCTGCTGGCAGGCAAAGGTCTGCCCATCCACCCTTCCACATGAAATTGTATTCTAGGAGACCTATTCTCTCTCCCAGCCTGGCACCATCTCAGCTAGTTTACTTACTTTCTGTATATCCTTCTTTTCATGAATGGGCTTTTGGACTCTGTAGCATAAAGCAGATTCAACTTTCTCTGTTTCAGGTGCAGGCACAGGATAGAGAACAGAACTGTCCTCTCCCAAGAACTTCTGCTTCCTTTCCCAGCCTACTGTGGCAGCCTCCAGAAAGTGCTGTCTCTCCACTGCGAGTGTGGAGGGGGACAAGAACGTGGGCCCAAAGAGTTCAGGGTTCTCTGGAGCAGCAGGTATGGCCTCTGCAAACAAAACAGAACAAAACAAAGCAAGTGGGAGATTCAATACAGCAATCCGCACCACCGACTGTTCCTTGTTAGTAGATGAACTCTTTCATGTGCTGCCGAAATCAGAGGAGTTTGCATTTCAATATAATACGGTCCTCTCCTCTATAGATTCAAGCACGCTAGGTGGAATAAAGAGGTGGAATGATCTCTATACATTAAACTCGGGCTGTCCTGAAGGTTGTGAGTGTCATGAAATATTTTATACATTCAGCAAAAAATGTAGAGGCATACACACAGGCACCTACTGTGCAGGGGTGAGCTGCCTCTACAGCAGTGCCAAGACAACTAAGTCAACATATTGTGTCATGTTATACCTCACTGCAGTTGTGTTTCTGCAAACTCTGCTCTGGCATGCTAGCAGCGACCTCTAGAGGGTCATGGATCCAATACCATTTCTTTGGCGTTCTACAACAATACTGTAACAAACCCCCTCTCTTTCTTTGCTAATCTCCTAAATTAACTATAGTATTGATTGGTTTGCTAGGCTATCAGTATCAGAAACTGAATTTTAATCACAATTGTTCCAAACAGCAATCTTTTTCCACCAAAGGGATTTTTTTTATTGGCTTCAGATTCACTAAAATATGGGAAGCCTGCCATGGGCCCATCCAGCCAGTTAAATTAATATACTTTTCCAATGCATCTTCCTACAAAGATTTCTGCACATGATATGAAAAGCAAATAACAAGCAACTAGCTAAGTTAGCTAGATTTATTTATTTATATGCAAACTTGAGTGTAACAATAGTTTTTCCTTGTTTTTTCTCTCCTACGTTTTCCAAAGAAACTCCTTTATAAAGCATGAATATTCAGCTGCAAAATTTTAAAAAGTAATTTCTCACTAATTCTTCATTTGATTAGATGTTAAGCCCCTCCCATAGGTTCTTAAATATTTCACAGATTTGTAATATATTGGTTGTCCTTTGGGCACTGGGACAATAAATCTAAAAATAGCAAAGCTAGGTGTTCTATGATTAATAATTTAATAGATTAAAATCAAATGAAATCTGAGCCATATGTGATCACGATTTTTGAGATCCTTGACATTCTGGGATACATAGTTTTTAAATATCTTTTAAAGAAGTAAGTTCACTGCCTTGAGCTATATATATAAAAAAGGCAGGAAAAAAAATCTAATCATCATCATCATTATTTTCATCATATCATACAGCTGATAGTGGGCTTCAACCTCAGTCTCCTTAGTCTTAGTTTAATCCCTGCTCCATACTGAATATATTCACCATATAGTGTGGCCTGTCAGAAGAGGTTCAGTTATATCCCAAAATCTGAATAGACTATTAATCATATTCAATAATTTAAAATATTTATGATGAGAATATATGATGCTTCAAAAATCCAAGAAATTGTAACATATGGGGGGATGCCTTCAAGTCAGTCTTGATTCCTGGTTACAACATGGAAAATCTCCCTCCTTCTCTTCATCTCAGTGCAGTAAGATAGGGTAGTACCAACCTATTTTGCAGAAATAATCAAGGACAGAATGCAGAGAGTGTTGCAAGATGAATTTTTAGGATAGAAGTATAACAATAGTGCCCCTGTCTCTCATGACCACTGCTGGTATGTTTCCAAATTCTTTGATGAATACTTTTTCCACCTTAGTCCATTCAAGAGCTACCTACCATTTAGTCCAACAATCAGAAGAAACCTGTTCACCCGCTCAGCCTCGGTGTAAGAGGTGAATGCCGGTAGCTTCTGCTCTGCTGCATATTGTAAAGGGTCACTGGCATAAGCCAGCTCAGGAGATGTCTGCTGGGTCACAGTGAGAGGCAGCTTCATTTCTGGCCTGCTGACTATGACTTTGTGTGAAGCCTGGAATGAAAACAGTCCAGATGGTCACGTTCAGCAGACTGAAGACAATAGCAACAGCCAACTCAAAGGGCCAGGCCAGGGAATCATGGTACTGTAGTGCTTCGACAGGCTCCTGGGTAGAACAGCAACTCCACCCTTTCAACAATCAGGAATAACCCCTGCTGAGAAGAGGGGCAGAGCCAGGAAGCATGATTTACTTTACCAAGCCTGGAGTTATATCCAGCCAAGGAAGTAGTGTTTGATGCCAGGGAGAACAATGGTACAGACAGGTTACAGAAGAAAGTGGGTAAGACTGCCTGTTTCTGGAAATATTTGTAGTTACATTTGCATGTGAGAAGACAAACCTTGCCAGACATCTACCAATAGCACTCTTGTCTAAGAGAGAGCACTAGGAAGCCCGATGCGTACAAGTCTACTGCTGGAGCAGATCCTGCCCGTACCAGTACATGCAGCTGGCCAGTGAGACGGTGAACACGAACCATCCATTGGGCAACTCCTTCACTCTTCAGAATCAAGAGGAGCCCTTGGTGTGGAGATCTTCCAACTGCATGAAGCTCCACAGTCAGATGGGCCAGCCTGGGCCTAGAAGAGAGCAGACTGCCATCCCCCCCTCCAGTATCAGACTATCAAGCTAAAAATCATGGAATCAGAAAAGGCTGTGCTTCCATAAACTGCTAGGATTCCTTGAATCACGCATGCACCCCCCCCCCCCAAGTTTCCACGACATCCATATCTGCAAGCCCAATATCTGTGCCTTTATTTCATCCTTAGGCACTTCAAGATAAGCCATTTTGATGCATGTTTTTTGCTTCCCATTCCATTCTCCATCCAGCTCCAAAGAACAATGTCAGCTTTCCATAATAGTCCAGCCTCTTCTAAATATAAATGGCTTTGCTATGTTATTTCCAGCCAGACATTAAAGTTAGACCCTCTGCGCAAGGTGTGAGCACATACCTGGGGGCAACACCTTTGGAAAGTATGATGTGCACTTCAAGGTCTTGAGGAGGGTCAGAATTCTGGCAAATTCTCAATGGCTGCAGTTGGCGTTCAGAGGCAAAGTGCTTGGGTGTTAGGAAATTCCTACGCAATTTGCAGGTTGGCCGGGCAGTCCCATCTATTGAGGGAGGAAGGGAAGAAGAGAATTAAGAATGTATATAATCGCTGAGGTAGGGTCTTCCTAAGTCAAAGCTTTGACTGATCCCACTGATTTAACCTCAAAGCCCTTTTAGTGCAATTTCACTCTTTTGGCTGGCAATGGGCTTTCAGCAGATATTGATGAGTCCATATGATCCACGTTTTTTTCACTGACATTCAACTTCTACGCCTGATACAATCCACCTAAGTATGGTCCAAACTGTAACCTGCATATTTTTAGCAGAATTGGTTTCATCAGATTATACTTGGGTCTGATTCAGATTAGAGGCCTAGCTTTCCTCCCTTCTGAAGCCATTTCCTCTAGGCCTAAACTCACAGGTTTACTTTCCACCTCTCTCCCCAGACACACACACAACATGCAGACACCCATTTCAAGCTCTTCCCCTTACAGTATTATGCTACTAACTCCACAACTTCTACCACCTGCATTAAGACCCTACAGAGTACATCCCATCCTCCCACAGAAATAGCATGTAATTCTGATGCCAGCTCTATTTCTTCGTGGCCCATACCAGCCCCCAGGCGTGTGTAGATTGTATTGACTCCATGATACTCAGCCAATGAAGTGACCCCTCCATGCTTTCTACGTGCCCACTTAAGCAGGCCCCTGGCAGTATCTGGGAAGTCAGTCTCTGCAGATGCCACTGACTCAGGGGCTAAGACCCTGGAGCCCAGAGAGACCTGGAGACAAGGGAAAGACAAGGGTAAGAAATCTTGGCCTTAACTCTCTTTGATTCCCAGGGTGAAACAGTAAACACAAATCTCAGTAAAGGATACATTTCACTTTAATCTGGGAGATTGTGACACGAGCTATACCGCAGCCATACACTCACAGGTTCGCTCAAACCTAGAGTTACTAGATATCTGAAGAGGCAAAGGAAGACGCAAATAACTGGAAAGGAGGACAAATGGAGGCAAAAGGAGGACACATTAATTGTTTAACTTTCTTGGCATCTGCAACAAAAGTCACAGTGAAAAACTACAAAAAGAATGTAGTCAGGCCTACATGTATATGAAATTACTTTTTCCAACATTTGAAAGACTTTGATTTTTCAATTGCAGGAATGTGCTAGAGCTGGTTAGGAGGCAAAAGCCTTCAGCATGTAACTGATTAAAGTCTTGTCAATTTCAGGCAGCGGCAGGAAGGCACTAATCAAGGTTACAGAGTAGAGCTTATTAGCTTGCAGTTAGTGCTTATTAGGGATGCACTGCATACTATAAAGGGTCTCCAAGAAGAGAAAAGTTGCTCAGGAAGAGGTAGCTTGCAGATACTCAAAATGCTGGACAACGTTTGATTTTAAGACTATACCTGCCAGATGGAGGACACAAGGTCAAAAAGGAGGTCATGTCCTCCTTTTGCCAGTCATCTGATAACCCTAGTCAAACCTCACTGACTCAATTCTCCCATTTGTACAGTGGGAATAATAGTAAGTTATTATACAAGATGATGCTAAGCTGAAACAAATATAGATGATCGTGTACTTTATATGCATTTAAAGCATTACAGTATAAAAAAAATTGATAGCTATCAATCTCTTCTTTCTGCTAACACTTTGCTTGTCATCTTTGTTTGCCCAGGGCAAAGACTTAAACCACCACTTCAGAGGTTCCAAATTTAATGTTCTCCACGTTGGTCCTGTAGAATTTTCTATCCAAATTCTATTCTCACCTGGAAGGTCCAATTTTTTCCAGGGGAAGATGACAGCATCCATTGCACTGGTTCCTGGGAGTGCAATACAAAGATGGGGGCCCAGCTCAGAAGATCTGGAGCCAACACAAGAGTTACCTGAAACAGGGTCAAACAGATAAAATCTCTTCTCCACGGACCTTCAAGTTTAGATTATGTTCTGTGTACCTTTATATAATGGTTCTTGGAAAACCTTCATTTGAAAAATTTAAATTTATCTCCAATTTTGGCAGAAATGGAACAAGATCTACACAGATGGTCTAGAATTCTTGAGGATATCTGAAGTAAGATAAATGTGATTAAGATTACTTTAATCTTAATTGCTTGCCTTGTGGAACAGTATCTGCCCAGAAATCTGAATGACTTGACTCTGATAGTTTTTTGTAAGGTTCTAAAGACCTGGCTTTTCCTCCAGGCATTTGAGCCAGGCAATTAGGTGAGCTGTGCTGGCAATATGCTTTTGTTTTGGTAGTTACCGTTTAACCGGGGCATCATGAGTTTACATTGTTATGATGGTTTGGTATCTTGGTACGCTGCCCAGAGTCACAGCTGTGAAATGGGGGGGGGGGGATATGGATTATTTAAATAAACAAACAAACAAACTTCAAAGCTGATTCAAAATTGATGAGATCTTCCTTTTTTATTTCTTAACATCATTATAAGCAAATGTATAAGCTACCAAGTCATTTTAATTATTAGGGTCACCTTTCAAGCATTTCACTGCATAAATTACAACTACTTAATGAGAAAGGTGGAATTAATTTTCCAGACTGACAGTTACATTTATTGTACCTTCAGCTGTAGGTTGGGATTCGGTTCCTAGAGAGTTCTTCTCTGATTCCAAGACAGAACATTTTGTGGGAATGGCACTCCGAGCCAGCATGGCAGTTCCAAGCAGAGTGCTGGGTCAGGGGTGGCCAGACCATGCAGAACATTGACCAGCGTTCCCCCCTCAACCCCTCCAACTGCCCTGTACCTGGGCATTGGCAGGCCCTCCCCTGCGCAGGCTGATGACGTGCACTTCTTGACCTGTGGAGGAGAGGCCCCGGCTGGTGCATCCTATGCCTCTTCGCAATACCTCCCAGAAGCCCAGGATAGGAGCGGGGGTGGAGGCAGACGCAGGCAGACAAGTGAGATGGTGCCAGGCAACTGCAGAGCAAAAGAGAGATGGTGTCTCTGGAGCCAAAGCTGCCTTCGCTCTGTATCTCCTCATTCCCAAATACAGAACCGATGCCAAAGTAGTCAGGAGTTTGAACTTAGAATTATACCTCTGTTTACTTCTTCATGAGATCTATTCTGTGCTCACATGCAAAGAATATGAGACATCTGGCAATGAATGAGGACAGAGGGCAAGGAGAGCAAGAGCAAATGCTGGGTGGAAGGGTCACTGGCTGCACAGTTCATGGGATCTCTCTGAATTGTTCAAGTGCTGCTGCTCTCTGAAGGGTTTGGCTTCTAGATCATACAAGTGGGCCTATAAAAAACATCTGCTTGTATCATCCCCCCTGCCCCTCTGCTATGCTCCAACCATTCAGCTAAATATACCCAGTCCAGACATAGTATATGCTGAAGGGCTTCAAGCAGGCTGATGTCCTTTTCACTGCTTCTCTTTTCCAGTGGACCCTGAGCATGCTCTGTCCTCATCAGGTATATTTGGGGTGGGGAATTGGCACCTTCCAGTGTTCTTGGCTTGCTTCTGCATGCCTCTGGACTTCTCCCAAGCACCTCCCTTATTTTGCCTTCAGTGATTATGTATAATTATGTTTTGTAGGGTTTTTTTTTTAATCCAAACTTTTTCTTGGAGAGAGAGAGAATTTAAATAAAATATTCTATTTTTTTTCTTCTGCTGCTAGTAATTTGGAAGCAGACTTAACCATTTAACTTGGTACACCCCAAATGATTGGCTCTATGACCCTTTCCTTCCAAATGGAAAGAACTTATGTCATTCATCTGTTACTGCAACATAGCAGTAACGAAGGCAGGTTTGATATCACTGGAATGATGGCTGGATGATGTAGGGATGTGCAGCACTTCAGAGCCAAAGCTGAAAACATGTCTCAGAACAAGTAGGGATGTGTGCGCTGCACCCCTTTCTACTTCCTTAAAGAAGCTGTGTCTGTTCCTGGGCTTGAGTATATAATCCTAGGACACTTTCAGCATACTGGTGTAGGTTTTCATGGCCAGTGTCTGTTGGGCAGTGTTGGGCTTCAGGGTTTAGTGACTGTGGTCTAGACAACAGATTTCCTGATGTGGTTGGCATCTTTAGAGGCACCCTGAAACCCAACACTGCCCAAACGTTCGGCATTGTTTGTACCATTTATACAGTGTGTTTTCAGTGTATTTATACAGTTCTGGAACCTGTGAGGAATATTATTTTTGCTGCCGTCCAGATCAGAAATTACAGGCTGCTCCACCAGTCCCCGTAACTGCCACTCAAAGATGTCTTGCTGACCATTGTCTAAGGATGGGTTCTCATGAGAGAGCCTTCGTCTCATCCCCAGCCCATATCCAAGGCCACCTAACTTTGTATCTCCCTGATCTGATGCTAATGTGGCGTTGATGGAAGACTCCCCACATAGGCCTTCCTCTGTGCATGATCCCTACAGTTTCAGTACCACTCTGATGATGACCCAGTTAGGGACTGGGAATTGCCCAGCTGGTATTGGCTACTTTCAGCTACAGCATCCACATCTACAGTATACTTTTCAGTCCTGGTAACTTCCAAAAAGAAAAAGAAGGGAGCTCTCTGCACAAAATACAGTGATCCCTTTTCTTCTCCAATTGTTTTGGTCCATCCGCTACTTTTGGGTAAAGTGGGTGTACTCTAAGTGGGTTTACTCCAAGCCCCAGGTCCTGGAATACTCCAGGTCAATCATACATTGCCATCTTGTGGAACGGAGGAAGCGTGCCTTCTCCGTCACCGCCCTGCCTAGTGGGCATCCTCCCACCCCGAGATATGCCTGGCACCCACTCTTCTCGGGTTCTGGAACCGTCTTAAGACCTGGCCCTGTTCCCGGGCCTGGGTTAGGGTGTCTGTGGAGCCCCAGTTTTTTTTTTTCTTCAATTGTTATGGCTGCTTTTTAGTCCTGGCAGTTATATTTAGTTGTTATGTTTTTAACTATTTTAATTATATTTTGATGGTGTAACCCACCCAGAGTCTCTTAGAGTGAGTGGCTATAATAAATTTTAATCATCATCATCATCTTCTCCTTCTGCAAATTATTCCATCAAAAGAGTCACTATTACACATTCCACATTCCACATTCAAATCTGGTGTAATACAAATTGCTCTGTGCTTGCTCCCTTTTGCAGAGTGCAGCTTTTGATGGCTATTCTGGCAATGAGACTGGTGGAAGCTACAAAGCCAGGGCTGGGGGGTCAGGGGAAGGGGTAGAATGGCAGGAGAAGTGGGAATTTTACCCTCCAGGACCTATTGACAGCCCTCCATCAGCTGTTTTTAGACAGGGCAATGGTAAATGAGAGAGAGGGAGAGGGAGAGGGAGAGACAGAGACAGAGAGACAGACAGAGAAAACCACTGTGTGTGAGTGGGAGGGAGTTTTCCAGTAAAGTAGGAATTATAGCATGTCAGGGTTGAAAGGGACCTTGGAGATAATCCACTGGTACACATGCCTAACAGATGGCCATCCACCCTCTCTTGAAATACCCCTCCTACTACCCCCCCCCCCCCGCAACTTAAATGTGATCTCTGGGCTAATAGAGGCTGTGCTCCCCAGAAAAGCAAAAGAACACCCTCATCTCTTGCACGTCAGTTCCTGACATATGGCTTAAGCATGGCTTAACCCCAAAGTATAAAACCCACCATTCACTTTCCTCAGCTGGTCCCACACTGATATTATAAGGAGAGCACCACTTGCTGGCTTCACAATTGATCCACATCAGGACCAAGCAAACCTGAGGGCAGCTTTTGCTTTGCCTCACTCTCTGGAGGGAAGCGCATGAAAGCCTTTGCCGGGAGAAGCCCTGTGACTTCTAGGAGCTCACCTTTCTCTTCACAGGAATAAACCCCAGCCGGCTGGCTGCAGCTATTGTAGGGCATCCTGTAGCAGGGGAATAGGATCTAAGGCCCTTCAGCTCCATAAGTTCCCACAGCCTTGGATACAGCAGCCCCAAGTCCTCCTAGACTTGCTGAAAACTTGTCAGTGTTAATGTTAGAAAAGCAGACAATTATTAAATCAATAGGGTGCAGTCAGATTAGAGGTAATATTTTATTTTTTTGAGGGTGCCAGAGTGGAAAAGCCTGCTTCTGAATACATTTATTTTTAAAATAGATATGCCACTCTTCAGAACAAAGTGTCCAGCACAGCTTACAAAGGCTAAAATCATGATTTAGAATAGCATTTAAAATACCTAACATAAAAGCAGTAAAACAGCAGAAAGGTAACATTTATGCTGCAATTTAAATTAAATTAATAAATTTAACATTTAATAAATTAAATGTTAAAATATTAAGGTATTAACATATTTAAAAGTCTGGGAAAACTGCCTTTCTGTAGTACTGGAAAAAGGACATTCCAGAGCTCAGGGACTATCACTGAATACACTCATTCCTTTGCCCTCAGTGGAATTTAAGGAAAAGTCCCTAACAAATTTTCCCTCTAAGTCAACAGTCTGTTCTTGGCTAATCTCAGAGGCTGAGAAGGAAAAGGAGAAACAGAGGCTTTCTACTGGCATTAGCTTAAAAAACAAAGTGAAAATTACCAGATGAGAACCTGCATCTGTGATCTGCAATATGTCATGTGTCTGTTCTTGCCTGAAAACAGCCTGGCATATATTTTCAGTAATCTATTGTAGGAAAGTCTGAAGAACAAGTCAAACGATTGGAGTAATGAGTAGCCACACTTCAGTTGATGAGAAAATATGAAGGTCTTTCAGACCTTGAAGATATAATTCCTTTAAAAGGAACCCAAACAATAAAAAGGGAGGAAACTTTGTTCTGGTTGCTAAAAGTATCCATACCTCCCCAGAAATCCAAATGAGGGAACTTGGGGATATTGTAGAGAGCATCTAGGTTAGAATAAGTGGAGGAATTAATGCATGCAATGCTACTTTCATCCACCCAGCTAAGAAGAAAAGATGAGGGTTGTTTTCCAAAAGCAAACTGCAAATCTTTCAAAGAGGCATGAAGTATAGTGATGGAAGACTTCAGTTCCCTTGACATCTGTTAGGAGACAAAAATCTGTCAAATATGGTCTTTTCAGGAAATCCCTAACATATCTCTCTGATGTTGCTCTGTCAGAATGAGGAACAAGTCACAAGAGGATCAGCTACTTTAATTTGAACTTACCAGTAGAAAAAATCTAACTGGGGAAATGGAAGTAACAGGAACATTAGAGAACAATACTAATGTAATGCTTGAGTTCTTGATTTTAAGAGAAATGTATTTTATTTATTAGAAAATTAAATTAAAGCTGAATATTAGTGAAACACAGCTGCAAACTATTCCAAAGAAGCCAATGTTTCTACACAAAAAGCTTAATGAAAAAGTGAAAACAGCAGTGACAACAACAACAAAAGACATGTGCAGGAGGTAGAAAATGGGACATGTCACCATAAAAAATACAGGACAAGTAGCCTGGAAGTATAGAAATGGTGACAAAAATCTATAGCTAACACTGAGTTGAGATTGGCAGAGGATGCCATGAACAACAGAGGCTTCTTTAAACTCATTCAAAATAAAACATTCAGGGGAAAAAAGCACCAATTACCAACTGCAAAATGGCAAAATGTTAATAACAACAAAAAAAGGCAGAAATGTAATTGTATTACACTTTTGTTTCAGGTTTTTTTTCCCACAACATGGTCTGTATTAGGCAGTTGTGACAAGCAGAATGATGGGGCATGATTGAAGCTTGAAAACGCTAGAAACGTGGTCAGGAAATAATTGCTTACTTTGAATACAGTTACATTCCAGGACTAGATAAATTACATCTTAGGATACTGAAAGAACTTGGTGACAATCTGGCCACATCTTTTGTATTGTTTTTGAGAAATCTTGTAGCATTGATGAAGAGCCAATGACTGGGAAGATCAAATATTGTTCCTGTCTTCAAAAAGAAAACTAATTAACCTGACATGAATACCTCCCAATACAGTAATTACCAGAAATCAGCATGAATCTGTCAAAAAGTCTTAACAAACTATCTCACATTTTTTAAGATTCTAAATTTTATATTTAAAAAAAAAAATCAGGTAGCTTCCTTAATATATTGTGAGAATGCTATGGTTGCAGTATATCATGATTTCAGCAAAGCTAGCTCAAAAATCATACCCCAAATGGTTATCAATGATTCTTCATCAAACTGGAGAAGTTCTGAATAAGGTTCTGGACCTTGTACAGTATTCTTCCATATTTTTATTAATATATTACTTTGGTAGAGGAATTTTCGATCAAATTTGCAGATGATGTAAAATTGGGTGGAATAGCCAATATCTTAGAAGACAAAAATAATGAATAAATAAGTAAAAATTTAAAATGCTCTCTAATCAAATTTCTAGAGATCAAATTTCTCTAAATTGACTGAAAATGATTAAGTTTATTTTATTTTTAGTTTAAGTTTAACAGGGACAAAGGCAAAGTTCTTCACTTAATAAACAGACATCAAATGCACAAGCATAGAATATCTGGTTTGGTATATAGTGCTTGTGAAGAAGGATTAGTAGTCGATTGCAAAATGAATTTGAGTCAATGGCTTCAAAAAGACAGATGTACTTTTAGGCTGCATTAAGAAAAGTAGAGTTTCCAAATCATGGGGAGTAACAATTCCACTCATTCTTCATTGAACAGATCTCACCTTGAGTATTGTGTCTGGTTCTGGGCATAATGCTTTAAGAAGGATTTAGAAAAACTAGAATAAGTTCAGAGTAAAGCCATACAGATGGTCAGGGAATTGGAAATTAAGTTCCGTGAAGAATGATTGAAAGATCTGGAAATGTGTCACTTTAAGAAGAGAAGACTAAGAGGGCATTTGGCAACATTCTTCAGATACTGAAAGGGTGTCATACAGAATAAGATTCAGAGCTGTTCTGTATTGTTCCAGAGTGCAGAACATGAAACAATTAACATAAGTTCCAGGAAGGTGGATACTTAACCATGAGAGCAGTTCAAGAGTGGAACCCATTACCCAAAATGGTGGTGGGCTCCTGCTCAGTTGGCATGTTTAAGCAGAAGCTAGGCAATTATCCTCTGTTGGGGATAATTCAGATTTCTGCCCTTAGCAGAGGGTGGATTTGATGTCCCAACATCTCTTCCAACCCTATGCTTCTGTCTAAGGAGTTGGAAGGGAATACATGGGAAAAAGTACTCCCTCAGATATTATAGTCCCAGATTGAACATGAATATCTTGAACTGGTATTTTGCAGCATAATCATAGCCCCCAATTTCCATTTGCGTCCTTACTGCCTCAAATTGTACCAGCTGAAGTTTTGAGAGCAGCTCCGTATACTCCATATAAGTTTGAAGAAAACTTGGCAAATAAATATCCAATATTTTGATTATGCATGTGCACATATACACACATTTCAGGATACTCACAGTGTTTTGTACTTAAGAGTTTGAAAGATTTTATGCCTCTGATTAAAGATTAGCCTAGCTGCTAATACACGGTCCATTTAGTTTTTCATAAACGTGGTCAGAAATGGTTGAAGCTTGCAAGTTGCTCGGGGATACAGGTGAGCTTGAGACAAAAATCATGATAGACATAATTGGGGGAGAAAGATATTACAAGTTCACTCTCACACTTCCCACCACCATTCCCCCATTGGATACAATGCATCAACCCTAACACATAATTCATTGTGGATTAAAAGCTGGGAGAGGTGCATTTTAGTGGCTTCAATTTTACCTGTTCCAGAGCAAATCCAAAGGACAAACAAGCACCATCTCCATAGACAACTGGCTGGTTGGCAACTGCCACGCCTCATTTGTAACACTCAAAGCAAGGCTGTAGATTTTTACTAGACACAACCTATGTAGGAAAACAAGATCAAAGCAAGAAACATGAGTGCCGAAGGGAAAAATGTTTCACAGCCTTGAAGCTTTTCAGAATTCCTACACAGCTTAATTTCCTGTCCAGGTTTGAAGATAAGACGTCAAGCACTTACCTCTCTGCTTTCCTTCTCTCTACCTGAGACCAACATGTATAAACCACTAAAAACACATCACCAAGAGCTCTTCACACAGAGCCATTACTCCATACAGTCCTCTTACCACCCTGTTGCATGCGGTATATGCGTACATCTTTTCACTGTGTGCATCCAGCAGATTTATCGATCTCTTGACTTTAAATCCTGGCAAAGTCCTTGGCTAACTGAAAAACTAGGATTAGCTTAAAGATACTGAAAGCTACTACCTTCCCATTCCCTGCAATCAACAGCAGTCATTCAGTAACGGTCATGATGGTCTCAACCAGTATAAAACATTCATTACATTATTTCATGGTCATAATCACAAAATAAGGGATATACAGGTTACATAAATTCACATGAAGCCAACTGAAATGCAGTCATGGGCAGTGACCCATGGGAAGATGATTGATTCCTATCTTCCTGCACTTTCTGCTCTTTTGTGCAGCAGCGCCCAGCTCAGCAGCCTGTCAGACAAAATTCTGCTAACTGACATGTGATTTTAGAGTCTTCATCTGCACAAAATTCATCCAGGGCTCTTGGACCTTTTTGTATTAAGGGGCCTCTCGTGGTGTTTCAATGCCCCTGCAGAAGAAGCAGTCCTAAAAGCCAGGGCCCAGTGTTTCGATCATCACAGGTGCCTGACACAGAACTTTTCACTGAGAGTAGCATTCTTCTACCTGCTCTCAAGAATTGCCGGAGACAGGGTGTTAAAATACGTAGGGGTAAACACTCCACAATATTTTGTGAGAAGAAGCTGTTTGAGGCTCCACGGCACATGGCAATTTTGTGACCAACTCCTACTATTGAGGAGTTCCACCTCAATCTTCCTGTGTATCTGTATCAGTAAACCTCTGTTTCACTGTCTCCATGGTGTGATCATAACCCATTCTCACCACCACCTGAAGAAAAAGCCTACTCTGCCACATTCTTCACCCTACCTTCAGTTTCCAGGATGCATGAAAGAGATCTACCACTATTAAGGATGCCAGGCCTTACGGGAGAAAATGAAACATTAGCCAAAAATTAAATATCCTCAACCTGGCCCCAGATGATCCGATCTTTTTTAGGTCTGTCTAAGTGTTGAGTTCAGAACATACTGCCCCACATTTAAATCAGCCTGAATGGTCTCAGGTGGAAGTCACTTACTTTCTAACCCTAATTCTACTCCATAGAGGAGCTGTAGTAGGGCTGTAGCCACACAAAACTTGCTAACAGGTTGAATATACTGAGCCTCTTTCAGGTAGAAAAAAGACAATAGATTCTATGCTCATTTATGCTTTTAGGGCTGCGTATAAGAAGTTCGCTTTTTGATTACACTTTTCCCTAAACCATCCCCCAAATCTTTGACTCTCTGAAGATAGGAAGCTGGCTTCTATTCAATAACCCACTGGTCCATTTAATCTTTATTATGCCCTCCAGCTGATTTCCCAACAGTCAGGTCAGGCCCTTCTTGAACACGTGCTTGCTATGGCTCAAGATGCGAGGGGACATTTTGCACACATCAGAAGTTCCCACCTTCTCTCCCGTCTTTGGTCAAAAGCTCTTTCCCCTTTGGACTCGGTTTCCTCCAATGTCTTCTACTTATCACTCCCACCTTTCAAAGCTGCCTTAGAAGTAAAGCAGAAGAAGGACTGCTGTGCTTTGGAGTAAAGCTGCCTCAAGATTGCAAGCTGGGGGTTACAGGAGAGAAGGTGTTTTCTACGCTGGTCAGCCCGCAAAGCAAGTAGGACCCTGGAGAGACGCAGCCAAAAGGACTCTTACCTTCCTCAGCAGAGCAGCCCCGGTGCCCTTGGATCCAAACGCTGTTTAGGAAAGCTGAAGGAGAGAAATTACCACCTGAACTGAAGAGGAGGCAAGAAGTGGGAGGGGCCGTGCTACTGCAGGAGATGCAGAAATCATGGATAAGTCTGGGCCTCTTGTCCCCAGGCCGGCGTGATTTAACAATAATAAAAATTATGCAGGTCAATGTAAAGTTAAAAATAACTGTGGGGCCGCGGGAGGGTCGAGTTACAAGTGAGAGGGGAGGGTGCACGGAGAGTGCGGCAGCTGTTGATTTGTGAAGGAATTCAGCAGTGGAGGAAAGGTGCTCCAGAGACAGGGAGTGGGCACTGCCACCCGGAGCATCCAGGCTCCCATGTCCCTCTCTCCCCCTCTGTCCCTGTTAGCCTTGAGGCAAGGCACAAGCTGCCCCTGGTGGCTGAGGGACTCCGGATCGACCAGCTTCCCCCGCTGATGCCTCACAAAATAAGGAGCACAAGCCGAGCCCTGGCGTTACTAAGGAGATGGCTGGATTTATGATTAACGCAGGCGGAGGAGGAAACTTCCTGAGCATCACTAGCAGGCTTGTGGAGCCCATGTGGAGCTGCACTCTAGGTCAGGGTGACCTGCTGCCACCCTTGTAGGGTTGGGCTTGGAAGGAGACATTGCAGGTAATCAATTGGTTTGGCTTTAATGGATCACTAGCAGGGGGTCAAAGAGCATCAAGAAATTTCCGAGTGGCAGCAAAGAGATCAGGCTCCAAGTGTGTGTGTGTGTGTGTGTGTGTGTGAGAGAGAGAGAGAGAGAGAGAGTAAATAACCTGGTGTTTTGCACTGTACTCATATTTTTGAAAACTGGGCGGGGGGCAGAATCCAAGATCCCTACAAAGATCAAGCTGCAAAGGGATTGGTCCATGGCCACAGCAAGACACATCTCACAGCACATTGCTGCACCACAATTTCTTTTGTACCTAGTCATTGGCCAGGCTGGAAGAGGCTGATGAGAATGGGAGTCTAACAACATCGGGACAGTGGCACAGATTCTCTAGTCCTGCCATTGGTTATATCATAGGCTGGTGTAAAGTTAGACTTAAGAAATCTGCATGTATAGATTTAACTATCACATTGTTAGGCTCAATTTCTGTCTGAGGAACTGGGAATTTCACCCAGCTGTATGCCCACCACATACAGTCCTAGGGTTCTGGCCAACCTGTATTTCTACATAGCACTAATTTGTTTTGCCCAGCTTCACCTATGTTTCTAATCTTGTGCACAAGTTCCCACTGGGCTTTCACAATACTCAGCTTTCTCTGCTGGAAAATATTCCAGGTGATTGTTCTCTGAAGGCAGAATCTTCAAAGCTGTGTAAGAATTTGGGGGTGGGGGAGAAGCACCATAGCCTCTGAAAGCTCAGTGCCCCAAATTGTTCCACGCAGTTATTTGGCCTTCTATAAACTACATTTTTGTTATGCACTTCCAGTATTTCAACTACTTGTCTTTCCTATCTTTCATAAACTTCTATGAATTGAACTTAGCTCAAAAGCATTTTTATTTTTTTATTTACCTTCACTGAACAGAGTGAGTTCTTGGAGAATGCTGTTAGGTAGACCGAGGTTTCTCCTGCTATAATAAACCACCCTTGCAAAAACCATTTTGCTTAGTACAATGAAATTCAGAGCACATTTCATTTTGCAGCCCGCAGTGATTAGCCATTCCCCCTCTCCAACTAGCCCTTTTGGAAAACTCCCCACCCCAGAATCTGTTTTTGACCTGGACAGTGATGGGCTAGTTCAATGACCCCTAAATGTTTTAGCCAGTGGGAAGATTTTGAAATGGATTCCCTCCCCTACATCACAAAGATTTAGCAAGTGGAATATACCAGGTCTTTGCCAGTTTCCTAATCTATTGGTTCTCTTTTGTATGGAAATAATACAAATGTGGTATCATGTGGTTGGGTTCTAGTGGTGGTTAATTCATCCTTGAGAGAAGGGGTTGTTCCCGAACCCTTAAGGAGGCTTTGGTTCACCCGCTCCTCAAGAAGCCATTGCTGGATCCCACCATTTTCTTAGGAAAGATCATGGAGAAGGTGGTTGCGCAGCAGCTTCACCAGGCCCTGGATGAAGCAAAGTATTTGGACCCCTTTCAGTCAGGATTCAGGCCTGGGCATGAGATAGAAACAGCATTAGTCATGCTTTTGGATGATCTGTGGTGGGAGTGGAACAGGGGTAGTGCATCTGTCCTTCCTCTCTTTGACCTCTTGGGAGCCTTTGATATCATCAACCATGGTGTCCTTCTGGATCGGCTCCATGGGTGACACAGTATTAGCCTGGTTTCTTTCCTTCCTATGGGGCCAGTACCAGTCAGTGTTGATTGGGAGTGAGAGGTTCTGCCCACAGCCGCTACTGTGTGGGGGGCCACAGGGTTTGATACTCTTTCCACTTCTATTTAACATCTACATGAAGATGTTAGAATAGATGGATGCGATCATTTGTTGCCATGGGATGAGGTATCATCAGTATGCCGATGATACCCAACGATACATCTCCACTCCTGGCAAACTAAGCAGTGCTGTTGATGGTGCCTGGAGGCTGTGGGGATCTGGATGGGGAACAACAGGCTTCAACTGAACCCTGGCAAGACTGGCTCTAGGGTTTTGCAACTTCTGGATCTGGGACTTTACCATCTTTTGTACTGGATGGCATGGCACTACCCCAGACAGACTCAGTGCAAAATCTGAGGGTCCTTCTAGACTCATGACTCCTGCTCGAGAAGCAAGTGGCAGTCATGGCTAGGAGGGCCTTTGCATAGCTTCATGTTGTGTACCAGTTGCAGCCTTTCCCAGATTATGAGGCTCTACTCACAGTCACTCACACCCTGATCTCCTCCAGAGTAGATTACTGTAATGTGCTCTACATGGGGCTGCCCTTGAAGGGCATCTGGAAGCTTCAACTGGTACATAATGCAGCTGCATGGACATTTATGTGTGCCCCTAGGTTGGTGTATGTTACATCCCTGTCCCTTGAGCTGCATTGGCTGTTGGTTTGTTTTCGGGTGCAATTCAAGGTGCTGGTTTTGATTTTTAAACCCTATATGGCATGGGACCAGGCTATTTGAGGGACTGCCTCTTCCCAATTACATCTGCCTCTCCCATCAGGTCCAGCAGGAGGGGTGTGTTGCAGATCCCATCTGCTAAAGACTTCCATCTGATGGGACCCAGACAGCATGCCTTTTCTACTCTGTCTCCCACCCTCTGGAACATCATCCCCTCCCACCCGAAGCAAGGTTAGCCCCATTCCTGTTAGCCTTTCCAAAGGCCTTGAAAACGTGGTTCTTTCAGCAACTTTGCAGTTCCCACGGGGAGCCTGAGCAATGGTTATACTGTGTTTAGATGGATGTTCTTCTCTCACAATCTTGCTTTATTTTTTACAGTTTGACACTACTTTAATTGTAGGTTATACAGTATGCCATCCAGAGTCACGTTCAGTGAGATGGGTGACCATGTAAATTTGTTAAATAAACAAACGCTGAGTTTTAAAGAACCTCTAATGATAAAGATGATGGTGGTGGTGATGCTCAAGAACTCTCAGAAGCACTGCAAGTTTAGCTCCTGCTTTCACAGAAGCATCCCCCTGATGTTCTTGGCAACGATACAGAATTGTTTGCCATTTCCTTTTTTCAGACATTTTCTGTGGAATCCCAGAGCTGGAAGGGGGCATTTAGGCCACTGTGTCCAACCTCCTGCTCTGTGCACGAACCCAGATTATATCATCCAAGACAGATGGCTGTCTAATCTGTGCCTGAACACATTCAATGAAGGGAAGCCCACTACCTCTCCGGGTAAATGGTTTCACTGTCAAATTGCTGTTATTCCCAACATTAAATTAAAATCTGCCTTTCTGTAACTTAACTTCCCAGTGTCTGACATCCCTAGTCTTCCATCTCAGTATTGACTCAGTCTGACCCTGCTTAGTTTCTGAATGCAGACAAGTGCACCCAGGTTTTACCATCTGCTGAGACACCAAGTACCTTAGTGGGTAAAGAAAGCACTGGCATTACAATATACATAGAGGGCATGTGGGTGAGGGAACATCATCCATACTTACTATACCTTAACCTGGGCCACAAATTAAATATTAAACAGTAATGAGCAGTAAAGGGCAATTTTGTCAAGTAAATCTTGAAATTGAAAATCTTGGTGCAGAACAGAACGCTTAGATTACAGATACTGTAGGCAACAGACAGTTATTGAACCGAGCTTTTTAGGTAATCCCCATTCAAGGGCATTGCTACCTTGCAGCTGCCAGCACAAGGGGAAAAACTCTGTGATCTTGATACCTGATCCTCTGTTACCGGCACAGTAGCCACCTTCCTGGTGTTGTTTGACAATGATGTGGGTGAGGTGGATACAGAAAGCAGGAACATAATTTCAGTTGCCTCAAAACATGCATTATGCAAAACATGCATTATATAGGAACTTTGAACTTATTTGGCGCTCCAATGCATGGAATTGTTGCTTGCATCCTTTGAATTGTTGCTTGCATCCTTTGTATTGTTTCAAGGGAAGAACAGATTCAGCCCCCACTGTGCCTTTATTCCTATCAAAACTAAAGGCTAAGTATGAGGCATCCATGAAGCAGTCATTGGTCAAGTTCTCTCTGCATTTGAAAAGACCTGTTGACAGATCTTCTGGAGTTCCTCAATATTGCTTCATGATAGAGACATACTCCAATGTAGAAAATAGGGTCACAGACGAGTTTCCAGTTCAAAACTCATGGGACATCATGGATGCAGGTCCCCTACCTCAAGAGGTACACGGGATGCAGACTAAGTGACAGGCTTTCTCCGTGACAGGCTCCATTCTGTGGAATATCCTCCCCACCCCTACCCCAAGGCATAGATGGCCCCTAACTATTGATATTTTGCAAACTAGTTAAAGCAATGCTGTTTTAGCAGACATTTGGCCTCTAGGGTAGTTTAAGCTGTGAGGTTTTTGTTCATTGGTTTTTAAATAATTATTTGAGTATGTATGTGTACAGCCTTTCACTCCACTCGGAGTCCTTCTGAATAGTGTAAATGCTATTAATCAATAAACGAACACACACTTCTGTTTTCCTTTTCAAATCCAAGGACAACATGTTCCACTTCTCACAGTAAACTCCCTTCATCCAGTATCTCCCAGATATTCTTACTATAACTCTCATGTTTCCCAAATTAGCAGGCTGACCAGGAATTGGGGTGGGGGTGGGGGGTTAAATCCAACCCATCTGATTCAAATGGCTGATAGAATTATTATTTTGGGAATGACATTTTTGGAAACAAGAGATGAAACTTGTAAAATGGACAGACACAGACATTTAGGGAAAGAACGTTTTATTTTGTTTTTAAGCTTCTATGAGGGTTTGTACAAACAGTAAAAAAAGCTTTTCAAAAGTAATGAAGAATGTCCTTTACTTTACACTATTGTTGATGTATTTTTAAATACCAAAGTTCCACTCAAATGGACCAGACTGACCTCACTACCTGGAGGCAGGCAATACTTCTGGCAAACTATTTGGACTACGGGTACAGAACAAGGATGATGACTAGAAGAAAACCCTTGTTCTAAGACTTTGCACATGCCAAGTAATGGAAAATGGGGTTCAGGACAGTGAGCCCAACCTGAGAGATGATTAGCAAACAAAGAAGCTAAAATAGGTGATCCAGAACTGCCATATGTAGCTTTATTGAACCTACAGGATGGTTCGCTTATAACAGAGGGACAGAAAGAGGTGTTTCATACCAGACTGCTGAAGACATCTGAAGTTCCTCCTCAACAATCTTTTAAAATCCAAGACACACCTGATATTTAAATGGAAAACTTATTTTCTGATTTTTCGGCCTGTAGGAAAACCCATAAGCTCAACCAACCACAGAGAAACTGTTCAGAGGGCCCAAGGCCATATATATGTTAGCTGAGCCTGAGAAGAGCAAACCATAACTCAGGACTTCCTGTTTTTGCAGATGAACTCTAACGTTCACTCCAAGAAGACTACATGCTGTTATTGCCATATGGAAATGCTCTACATCTGATTACTGCAGCCAGTAACCTTTTCAGGGCAAGCACCAACGTAGGATTTTTGTACAATACCACAGGTAGAAATTTTTTTGAATGGCCCAAACTCATGAGTTCTTATGCAAGTACACAGATCTTACATAATTTGGCTATCTCATGAGACTTTGATCATTTGTAATTGAAACAAAAATTCAAAATCAATGGGTACCATGTAGAGATGTTGCTGCCAACCCCACCCTATTATAAAAACATCAAATTGTACAGTTGGCATTTGAATTCTTTTCATGCTTGCAATAATGCCCCAGAAACATATGATGCTAATGAGAACTTTATCCAGCAAGGTCAGGAAGGCATATATGCCAGATTCCATGAAACATTAGATAGGAGTGTTGGCATACTCAAGTGGCTCGGTTGGGATAAGTCATAGATTCATGTGATATAGAAAGAGGATGATTGAATTTTTGAAACTGGGGTCTTCAGCCTTTACCACTGCCCAAATTAATAACTCCTAGTACTTTTGTATAAGTACTGTTATTTCACTTTTTGTAAAAAAAATGGTGGTTTAACACCAGTATGGAACTAGAGTCAAACTATTAAAAAAGAAAAAACCTGAATGAAAATATGTATATTGTGGTGCTTTTTTAAAAAGCTCCTCTCAAGAAGGATCAGTGGGAAAAGGGCTTCTTCAAAGTGATTTTAAAGTTTTGAGAGGAAATACAGTTTCTCCAAACTGCTTTGAATAACACAGAATCTACAACTAAGTACGTATTATCAGAAACAATAATGGAAACCATCACTCTTGAAATACAGACACAGGGAAACCCTCTGCATCTCTGCCCCAAATCAATTTAGTTTGTACAACATTCTAAAAGAATGCTTACCCAATAACCTTTTAATTCTTGTTCCTCAGATTTGGGATAACATTTATTAGTTATGACAGAGGCAAGCAGAGGAAGAATCCTTTCTGCCTACTTCAGAAAGTACCAGACAACATCTGTTGCCTTTCCTTCTCATCTTACCCATTAGCCTACAATTATTATATGTCTTCATCTCTTCCAAAAAGCTATATAGACTTCTGTTTTTGAGTGCAACTTTTGTGAACTAGGTTTTTGGGAGATAATCTAAACAGGTCATCTATATTAGGAATATATTTTTTCTTAAAAGCTTTGTTGGTAACAATATGCTGTATTTGTTCTATTCTAGAAGTCTGAAACCAGTAGGCAAATATATTCAACATTAGCTTAAATTACAGATATAAAGCAAATCTCATGATTCAATATAGTTTGGTAATTCTACATAATTATGAGCATCCTGATTCCCAGTCTCACGTCTCCTCCAATACTGCCTACAAATAATTTCATCCATCTGTCAGCCAAACTTTAAAAAAAAAATTCTACTTTCCCATCCCTTTATTGATGATCTGCTTTCTTTTGGGTCCCTTGAACAGCATGAAGATGGGACACTGAACCCTGCGGGTTTCAGAGTTACATGGTTCCAGAACCTCTCACGCCCAGCTACAGCTTACATACTACGTGTCTCTTGGAAAAGTATCAGTGCTGGGATTTATTGGAATAAAATTCTAAAGACTGCAGTGTATTTGCTTGCTATGTCCCATCTTTCCACTCTGACAGTCTATTCAGTAAATGCTATCAACAAAAAATACATTTTCTGTAAGAAGTGAAAGAAAGGGAAGTTTTTTAAAAATAAATTAAAACAACACACAGTTCCCTGTGGGCAATAAATAAATGTGCACAAATGTAGCCTTGATTATTGGAAGTAACAACAGAGCAAACGGTTGAACAAACAAAGCCAAACTGAAATCTTTTGACCTTCCTAAAAATATAACATTGACCAGGTGCCTTCAGAGGTACAAAGTCCTCCAATACTTCCATCATGTAGATTCCAGTAGAACAGGCCAGCAAAGAAGACAGACATACTATCTGGGGAAATGTCCACTGACCACTAAGTCTGTGCTGGCTGCAACTCAAGTTGTTCTGCTCTCAACCCCCTCTATGAAACTTTGGATAAATCATGCCCTTTTTATGAAAAGGTGGAAAAACAAAGATTTAGTGGCTACCAAAAACAAAAACAAAAGAACAAAATCAAGCAGGTCCTAAAACAGAAGGTGTTCAGACAATCCTGAATCAAGACAAGTGACCAAATTTACAAGGAATCCAAGTTAAAAGTTGCTTTCTGTATAGGATAGGTTACTTCTATTTATTTTAACATGCAAATTTATAATATATGATATATAGAGAATATAGTGAACTGCTAATGCCTAGAATATAACCATCTATCCAGCTAATCTCTGCCTTAACTTTGGCATGATTTTTTTACAGTTTTGTTTTAAAATCCCCATTTGAATTGCATGCATCACACGCTGCACACAGGTGCCCCTCCCCAACCCCAATATCCCCACACACTTTAAGAGCAGATGTCAGGCAGGCGATTGTAAACATTGAGCCACCCAGATTAAAAATAACATTAACAAAGATTTGTTCTAAATCAATACATTAAAAAAATAATTCTAAAAATGCAATAAAACTGCATTTTTCTTTTTTCTTCTTCTTTAAAAGACATCCCATATTTTTGAACAATTGAAAAAAGCCTTTAACACTTCCTATACCTACTAGCGCCCCATATCCTCCCCACCAAGGAATCTATATTTTAACTGGTTTGAAATGGAAGAAGGCATTCTTCCACATTTGAAAGGTAGGCAAGCTCCTTGTAAGAGACTATTCTTGCTTTCTCTTTAAACCAAAAGGAGGAAGAAACATGCTTTTCCAGAGGCCAACATTTTTAGGATAGTCTGTGATGTCCTGAAGATTCATATCCAAAAGGAAACAGCACAACGAATCCATACTAATTTCTTGCAAGGGACAAAAATAGCACCTCTCTTGTACAAACATTTCTAGTAAACTCCTTTACTTAAAACAACAAAAATCCTGAATTCTTGATACTCATACGCCTTTAGAAACTGAATCAATTAATTTTTTTCCATAATTCCCTATACTTTTCTTACATCTGAAAAAGGATATAGTTTTAGTTTAAGAAAACTATTTCCTGTCTAGAAATTTGGTCCTAATTGACACTTGCTGCATTTTGTAACAGAAGAATTATTCCGTTCTAGAATTTTACAAAACACCACTATCTTTCATCTATTAACCACTTACAAATACTTCAGTCCCATGTTGATTACACTGAAATACTTGAGTAAAAGGCAATCTAATTCCTTGAAGCCTCTACAATGACTAAAATGTTTGCCATGGAAAGGAAGGATGAAAAAATCATGAGATTGATGGTACCCTATTCTTTCCCTGTTACTGCTCTTCTGTAGTACTGTACTGCTTCTTCTTCCCTGTTACTGCTCTTCCCCGCTCTGCTGTTCATATAATAAAACAGAATCTCACTAGATACATTTCCAATAATTTTGGCTAATTAATTTTATAACTTTCTAGAAGCAGCTCTTCTAGGACTTGAAGACTTGTGGGTTAAAATCTGTGACCCTCTGAACTGCAACTTCTATTAACCCCCTCTGGTCAAGGAGATGAAAACAGATATAGCCCAAAAACATCTGGAAGGCTAAAAGGCTTTCAGAACTGTCATGTGGATATAAGAGCCAAAGGAGAGATACTACAAGCTCTCAGTAGGAAAGGTAAGTCGAGCACAATCAATGCTCTTATGACTATTGATTGTTTTAAGCATTTTTCAAGAATGGGCCACTTTTTTAACAATTCCAAGTTCACAAGATGTGATACAAGAAATAGTCAACAGTAACTTAAATACTGTTACCTTAAAAATGCAACTGATATTATTTTTGGCAGGGAGGGAATAGAAGGCACTTATTCATAGGAGTCAATAGGCCCCCATCTGTCCCAAGCAGCAGCAAATAAATTACTAGCAAATTCTTAAAACACCAGAAACAAACACAAAACCCATCTTTATAAAAAAATTATCTCAAGTTTACAAACTCAGTCTTATGATTAGTGGGACTCTGCTTTTGATAAAGAAGAAGATCCAGTTATTTAACATCTTTGCCCCCTAATTCATTGTTTGATTAAGACTTCCAGGGGACTGGTTCAGTTTTTACCAATTCACGTTGGGAACTGCTATTAAAGCAGTTAAGAGATTTGGAGCTTTAAAAACTAAAAAAGTTTTCTATCCAGTCAGAATGCAGATTCACTTCAGGGTAAAGATCCCCTGGAGGGGTGAAAATGCCAGCTGCCATATTATGCATCACTCATTGTCTACCAACTACTATGGTTACTTTGCTGAAGTATTTAATAGTCTAGCAAGGTGGAATAACAAGCAACAAAGCCAGAATAAGGGTACATCAAGCTGTTAGGACAAGGCTATTCAACTGCTTACATGGCAATTCTTCTGTTAACCATCTATAGCCTTTCTGCTTACCTTCTCTACATCCCTTTACTCCAGCGGACAGTTCGGCACATCACTCTTTTCTCTATACAGCCAGTGCCACTGTCAACTTGTACATGCTGTTCTTCATCCTAGATTTGGAAACCCACTTTTCACTCCTAAATATCTCTGTGCTCCAAACCATCTCCAACATTCTTAATCCAGAGTATTATATGCCCAGGCCTCAGTAGCTTGCTGATCAGCAACTGACTTTCCAAGATGAATTCCTCTAAGTAGTTAGCAAAATATGCAGAATTACTGAACAAACAAAATGCTAACAGAAGAATGAAAGCCTGTCACTAAGATAATACTACTTTGATTTAACACATATATAATGGGAATTCTACTGCAACTGTCTTAATGCAGTTTCATTAATCAGTCACCCAGACTTTAGCTCTATCACAATTTTTACACTACATCTTTTAGCCATTATATCCTGTCCCTGGTAGAAACAGTTGTCCAGGAGCTGTTCTGTGTTCTGCACCTGTTTCATTCTTGCTCTAAGTGTTTCAGGCTTTGTCTAATTCTCAATTTTGCCATAAAAAATACAAACTTTTCTCATCACTTTTCAAAATGACTCTAGAAAACATACTTTATTCTTCTCTAACCTTTATTTATTTATTAAGTTATATGCCAGCCTCTCTTGTAACTTTGGCAATTCACAATTAAAAATACAATAAAATGTCCTTTCTCAATATCCTGGCAAATATTCACATTCATAGTATCTTTGTATTTTCACAGACTATTCTATAATGAATTTGGAGCTGGAGACCTGCATGACCCCAGGTGAAGCTTATTTATGTTTCCCCACATTAAGTGGGTCTCAAAGGAAATGGGCATCTTTTGGTTTAGGGTCATATAGAACATAGCCATGCAGACCACTGGATTGATTATCTAAACACAGAAAACCACAATGAACTGTGACCAACAGATCTTGAAAGTCAAAGCCAAATGTTATAAAGTTGAGAATAAGTGCTGGGCCTAAATGTCCCTCCTCATTTCACTGGTAGGCCAATCTCATTTAGCTTAGATTTCTAGCCCCATTATGTTCAAAACAGAGGATTTTTTAAATACTGTTTCTACTACTTTTCTACTGAAAAGCACTATACTAATCAGGAGCTATTTTTTTTTCCTGGCTCTCTTCTGATTTAGCAAGATACATTTTGCCAAAGGTATTATGGTCTAATCTGGACATAGAATATATTTCCAGATGGAGCCAAAATAGGTTTCAGAGAATTTTTTCAAATTGAGAGAGGCTTTTAGGAAGTCACCTTAATGAGTAAAATCAAAATTCACCAGTGAAATTAATCTAAATAGACTTATTAAAGGAATTCACCTTGAAAGCTAAGCATCTTTTAAATGTCTCCCTAATACCCTATCCTTCATTTCTTTTCACACACCCTTTTTCCAGCTTCATCCTACTGAATTTCTGTAAAAGCTTCTAATAACCATCTCATTTCCAAATTGTTTCTTAAGCCATAAATTCTCTTTCTGCTCGCTGCACTTTATTTTTGCTAGCTCTTCACTTCTCCCTTCCTTCCTTCACTTCCTATTTTCTTTCATATAATGGATCTCTTTTCATATAACACACTCAAAACAGTTTTCTTCCTTACACAAATTCCCATGCCTTGTAAAGTTTGTGTATAACATAAATTGCCTTTTTTTCAGATTCTGAATAATGCTACCTTCTTAACAGTCATAATTAATGCTGGTAGAGTAATAGTGTGTCTGTATGATACAGTAACCATAACCCAATCACCTGAACAGGTGATCTACATCCTGTAAAAAGAGTTCTCCTTCCTCAACAAATTCTTTGGCACCTTGCAATTTTTGTTAGGATTTGTTTTGAAAAGCACTATACTCATAGAACATGCATATTATCTGTGTACTTTCCAGTAAGGTTTGCACATTCACCTTCTGTGAGAAAACCTTAGCAAGGCCTATCTGACTTCATAGCAACTTCTCTCTGATAACCAAGCCCTCCATATGCCAGGTTTGAGCATATGGCTCTGCTAAAGCTTCTTCCTCCTCCACTGGTTCTGCCACTGACCCCTTCAGTCCTGTAAACGCAATGCCTTCTTTTACAAAATGGTCAGGATATACTCATGTGAAACATATTATCTCAGGGTGATACCAGGCTGATATACCTGGAATATCAATGATTACAAATGCACCTCCTTTTCAGCCCTCCATGACTACAGCCTCCTTATGAGGATACAACTGTGTGGGGCCTTTTCTGGCCTCTGCCATGATTTCCAAGCTTTTGCTAGTAGGAGAAAGCAGGAACAAATCTCATCTTCAGGACATTTAGAGGTTAAAGTTGTACATTAGCTTGAGAATCTTGGAAAAACTACAGTTGGGAACTGCCTGAAAACAACTTCCGAACACTCCCAAAAGTCTCTGGCCAACTCATTTCCAAAGTTTCAGATGGCTCTGACTGCCTGCAAATTATAATACAACATTAGTGATCCAGACATCTTGATTCCTCTGGCATGCCTCCATCAACTTAAAAATATTGGCCAGTTTAAAAGGTGCCTTTGAATTTTAAGTGATTGGATCCTGTCTCTTCTTTCTTTTATCCTGTGGAAAGTGTTAGCAAAAAGAAGCTTGATTCTGAAATGAAGGAGAATGGTACTTTCTTTGTTTACTGAACCTTCTGGATTGTTCAGGACCACACATCTATACTTGCAAGTTGAGCATCCATCAGATGCTGCTTTTCCAAGCCAGTGGTCTCACAGAGCAAACTGATTGCTCCTCAACTGGAAATACATAGTTGCTACCAGTTAAGACTCTAAGCCAGTAAGTCCACAACAGATCAGAGGTCATAAATTTGTGACTATCAAGTTTTGTTTTGTTTTTTAAAGAATCTCTAATGTTAGAGATAATTTGGGCTGACTCTCTTTTTTAATGGCTTTCTTGATGCCAGGATTATCTTTAAGTTCTGCTTTTCCTTTTCTTAAATACTGGAAGAAAATGAACAAGCATTTATCCTAGCACCAAACACGCACTTTGGTAATAAAACACCAATGACAAAACTTTGTTCACACTCAAAAGAGGAACCCTGAGATCAAAAAGAACCAAAGAGGGGGAAAAATTTACTTTAACTGAGCAACTCTTGGGCAAGAATCTAGCACACATTTCCTTTCCAGGGCAGCCCCCATCCCCAAGCCCTACGAACAAACAAAACCAGACAACTGCAACTGCTAAGCTCAGCATCAAAAGCAGCAGCCAATTCTATCCCAGCCCCCATTCCTCTTTAGCAAATACAAATCCAAAAACACAGAGAAAAAAAAATCAAACAAATAAAGGACATGTAATAACGCAGAGACTGGTGAACAGGGGCAGCAGGTAGCCCACAGCACCAGAAGTCCAAACTTAATAAATAACTTGTAAAAAAAATATCTTTTCTTTTTTCCTTTTGTGTGTTTTGTGTCTGTTCACAGTGCGTGAGCAAGCGTCACTGTTGCATATCCTCGAGCCTCTGGTCACAGTAGAGAGAGACAAGCAGGGAGCACGCTCTCACTGGGTGGCAACCCCTGAGGGCAGATGTTCAGTCCCAGAAACATACAAGCATAGGCTGAAGAAGTACTTTCTCATCCAAAGCATTGTACATTTGGGCTGTCTGGTGTGATGCCTGGAATGCCAAAGGCCCTGGAACACATCCACATTCCAGAAAGACCAGACCTATGACCCATCTCTTCCTGGCAATACTGAAGAAGACAAAATGGGCAAGGGTGACTGAGCAGGTGAAGCAAATAATTCATGCCACTGAAGAGTTGTTCTAGTGAAGGCTGGTGCTTGTTGTGGTGCTCTCTCTTTTAAGATCTGGCAGCCAAGGGCCCCTTCCCTGGTACAGCAGCCACACTACATGGCTACCTGGTGAAGAATGGCAGGTGATGCTGGCTGAGGATGCTGCTCGTGCGGGGTGACTCTGTCTTAGCCATGACATCCTTGAACCAGGATGCTACATCCACTTCCAGTGTCTCGTAACGCTTGATGAAGTTGTGTTCCTGTAAGGGAGCATGCACAGTGAGACAGAATGCGATTCTTCCTCCTGTTCCTAAAAGGTTAAGAGCAACTCTAGGTAGGACTGGGGAAAAAAAAAATCCTCCTGAAACCTGGGAAAGTGCCCAATACTGCTGGCCCAGATTAACTAAGGCCTGACTCAGAAGAGTCAACTATATTTGAAGGTGTGCAAACAGACGCACAATTATGCTGAATACGAGCAAAAACAAATGGACAGTCATGAAAAAAATCAGCTCAATAGAACTTCCCCTCTGCTTTAGGAAACTATGTGTAAAAAAAAAGAAAAAAGTCCACCCTCTGCACCAGGTGCAAATTGTTTTAAGATTAAAGTTGGCAGAAACCCCTCCTGCAGCTATGATATAACCATTAATATTCACACGAAGTGTTGCACTTAATACTCACAAGTAGCTTGTTGTACTTTGGTCTCTTCCTGTGATCTTTAGTAAGGCTAGAAGGATAAAAACACACATTCAAACCACATATTCCCAACTGAATTTTGCTTAGGGCACAATAGTTCTTTATCACCAATACTTCATAGTTACATAAGTTATTTCCCCTCTAGAAGTTTGCTAGTTAATATGATGAAATCCATCACTACCCTGGTACAGCATAGGCCCAATTTCCACATCTAGTATCCCATGGCAACCTGGTTGTCATTTTCAGCTCAATGAAGGAGTCCCTCCTTACTCTACTGCAATTAGCCAAGACACTGGCCAAGGGGAAGAAGCAAGAGCCAAGAACATGTTGAGAAGAGAGAACAGAAACTAGTGGAATGACCCACAAAACTGCCCCACAAGAGAGCCAGTTTGGTCTAGTGGTGAAGGCATCAGGCTAGAAACGAGGCAACTGTGAGTTCTAGTCCCACCTTAGGCATAAAAGCCGGCTGGGTGGCTTTGGGTCAGTCAATCTCTCTCAGCCCAACTCACCTCACAGGGTGGTTGTTATTGTGGGAAAATAGCAGGAAGGAGGAGTATTAGGTATGTCCACCACCTTGAGTTATTTATAAAAATAATAAAGGCGGGATAAAAAAAATATTTTAAAAATTGTGCACAGCCAGCCAGAAGGCTGAGATGAGATTTAATTTCATGGAAAAATTACAAAGATGCTTGAGTTCACCTTTTCACAAAAGCACATTACCAGTCTGACTAAATAAAGCAGTGTCAATGACCTACTGATTTATTTATATATAATTGAGGTCACCTGATTCCAAACAATTCTGGGTGATGTACACTTTAAAAGTGAAAAACAATAAAAATTAAGAAAGAGATCACGGATGTCCAGAAGAGAAAACCATGCATAACAACAAAAAGCAATTACAGGGGCTCAACAACCACCCTACCCCAAGGCCTGGGAGTACAGCCAAGTTTTCAAGGACCTTCAGAATGTCATCAGGATGGGAATCATCTGGATCTCTGTGGGCTTACTATTCCAGAGAGCAGGTGCTGTGACAGGGAATGCACACTTTCTGGGTCCTGATAGGCCTGGAGTGTACCCACTTTCTATGCATTATTAATTCTGATCATTGCCTCAAATGTTCATCAGTGTCTGAGGAAACAGTTACTGTGCAAAGTGAGGGATCAATAAGATTTTTACTGCAGAGTTCACAGACCATACAAGAAATTGTTGACTTCTTAATAAAAATTTTTGAGACAATTCACTCACCAGTCTTTTACAAAGGACTGGAAATCCACAGAAAATCCCATGTTATTTGGGAGAAGAGGAGGATCTTCCTGCAAAACCTTGGTGAGGACCTCAAAATCTGTTTTGCAGTTCTTGTAGGGAAACTGACCTGTAGCTAACTCAACCTGCATTGGAATGGAGGTGAGAAGAAATGCCAAGAATAAATATTAAAAGTTGAAATAAATTAGCCAAAATTATCACCCTCTCTTTCAGTATCATTAAATAGAATCAGCTTTAGTTCAGCATGTCATAAGGTATTAAGAAAAATATAATTTGTTGTTTCAGCTGTGATCATTCCCTTATATGCCAAGGGCTGGCACTGCTTTCAGGCCCCATCACATGATGACCAAGGCATCTCCTCTCACCAAACTGGCTGAAATCCCACAATATCACTGAATCTCATGATACTGTCACAACCATCCTAAGATGTCAAAGCTCAAAGCTCATGTATTATGTAATGTTAATCTTAAGTTCAGCTTTCTTTTAAGATACTTTTAACTTTGCTTTCATATTCTTCACTTTAGAAAGAGAAAGTAAAGCACCCTAAAAACTGCTATTCTATTAAATAATAAATACTGTGCATGTGAAAAATTATTTAAGCATACCCAGAACCTAGCAAGGTGTAATTAAAGGGCTTCAGCATCTACATGGGCTACAGAGAAAACCTTTGAGGAATGCAGGCAGCCTGCAAGCTATGGGCTGTCCATTTGCACGTCAAAAACAGACAGAGAGTTTAACTTACCAGAGAAATGCCCAGGCTCCATACATCTGCACGGATATCATAATCAGGTTTTGAAGGATCAGGAGGATCTATTCTTTCAGGCTAAGAACAAAAGAAATCATTAAAAGAATCAGTTAAAAGAATAACTGATTGCTGATTTCTTACCTGCACTTAGGGAAAAAAAACCAATTATAGAAACTAAATTAGAAATGGAACTACAACTGTACCATAGTGCAGTACAGTTTCAAAATCTTAGCCCGGATTTTAGTGGCAACTTTCTAAGATGTGGTGTGAATCACACACCAGATGGGTGATTCTGATTCCAACAGAACAATCTCAGGCAGAGATGCACTGCAACTGATAAAACCTAAGCAGGCCTGGCCCAGAATACTATTGAAAAGAAAGCTTATTAAGGAATTGATATGGTGATCAATTTGGAGCCCACCGTAACAGCAAGATCCCTGAAGATATTCCCTAAACACCTCTCTAATTCTTACCGCCATATATGCTGCACAACCAGCACTCCGGGTTTTGGCTTTTGAGTCTACCAGCCTTCCGCTGATCCCAAAGTCACACAGCTTGATTTGCCCCCTCTCATCCAACAAAATATTGGAAGGCTTCACATCTCTATGAATGACACCATGCTTCTCTTTCAAATAATAGAGGGCTTTCACAATCTGGAAAAAAAAAATCAGAAATCAGTGCTGAAGAAATGACTCACTGTAATAAAAGTAATTTTTGCATTTGTTTAGGATTACCAAAACTGAATGATGTTCTTCTTGTTGTTATTGCTACAAAGACATTGCTACTTGGAAAGCAAAGACTAGTTACTCACTTGGAAGATTATGTGATTATTTAGAATACAGAGTTTTAGCTACATAATCTAACATGCCTAAACTTATTACAGCATAATCTTTTATCCATATACATCACAAAACAAATGTGAATGCATATGTGAAACTATACCCTTAGTATTTCTCCTTGGAAGGAGAAATGTACCAGTCTCCCTATATGATGCTGATTTTTTATTCAGTTTTATTCAGATTAAATAATACTCATTCAAATTGTCCTAGAGACTAGAACAGACATATGTGTGCTAAACCAGCTTTTTTTCCTCAATGTTAGATTGACTCTAAGTTTTCAACTTCCAAATTGCCATACATTAACTGGAGCCTCCTCTAACGTGCTTGTATAGCCTTCACAGCATGTGTGCGCCAGGGAATATTTTAAATTCCAAAGCAAAATGCACAGAGATCATTAGTAGGCACTTAACAGTTTTAACAATTTAAAATGTAGAGAGAGAGATCTGCAAATATTTTTTCAAATCATTGCACTTATGTTTGCAAGCAACATATGTTTTTATTTGGGCACACCTTGCCAGAGGTTATCATCACTCACCGCCACAGTCATCTTTCCCAAAATCTTCTCAGGGATAGGTCCTTGAATGCGTTTCTTCAGCTTCTCTGCACATGTGCCCATTAGTTCCATGGCTATAAAAACATCAGTCTATGGACAAGGAAGGGAGAAATGAAAGGATATTATTATCACTAAGTTAATCATATTGCATTTAAAAAATAGAGCAGGTGGGAGCACTGGGTTCACTTACATTTGTGATGAAAGTCCCAAAGCACTGAACAATATAAGGACAGTCATGACTCTTCAGCACCACATCCAGATCCATTAAGATCCTCTTGTTCTCTTCTTTGTTACCAGAACGACGCATTTGCTAAGCAGAGGGAAAAAGGATGAGGCACATCTGAGCATGGGAGGTAGATAAAACATCACAATAAAAATGATGATGGACATGCCTTCCCTCACAGTGATTGAACGCTTCATTATTTGTTCAATGATCATCACTATTCTTCATCTAAAAAAAGACGCTTATTGTAAATCCCTTCATCCTATCCTTTCTGTCTCAAAAAGAAATAAATCATACAGGCTCTAATCAAAGTGAATAAATTCCTACAGCATTCTACCCTGATCTCTTTTCCTTTTAGAAGTTTTGAGTTTCAAAGCTCAAGCATATCTACCTCACCTTCACAGCTATGATGTGTCCTGTTTTCTTGAAGCGCATTTTCCAAACCTGTCCACACGTCCCACTACCAATCTCACCCAGGTTTTCTAGGTCATGGATTTCAGCTTGATATCTCTGTGAGAAAATGAAAACATGCAGCTTAGATACAAACAGATATTAATGTACTGTACAGCGAAAAGGGAAAGACTGCTTTATGATAACTTTTAGTGCAGTCAACTGTTACCCCAACAGGGTGTAAAGTGCTTTAATCCACTGTATCTCTTATCTCTGCCTGTAAGATATCCTCCATAATGCAACACTAACTTGCCAATCTAAAGTGGAAATTTAACAGTAGAACTTCAAAATGCCTGTCTGAAAGCTAAATATTAACTGAAAAATACATTGCACCAAAATGAAAAGCAACAAAAAGAGCAAGATGGACAACCCATAAATCCTAAATCCAAGGATGCAGGTTGTACCATATTAGATCAGATCATGCAGTTCATTATCATGCTTTTCCAACCTCAGATGTGACCCACTTTAATTGGGTACTGAGCTTGGCATACTATCTATAGCAGGCTAGATCAGGTCAACTTACCTGGCCTCCAATGGTCAAGTAGCCGGTTTGCTTCATGATCTCCTGCAGTTTTTGATCAATTTCTATGCTAGGAAGGGAAAGAAAGAAAAGCTAAATCGCATAGGGCAGCTTCCATCCATGACATGGGACTATATTAACATATTCTTTCTGCAGGAACAAATACTGTGAAGAACAGTGTGCACAGCCCTGTTATGCAACTCCCATGCTCAGCAACAGAATCAAAATAATTATGTAAAGAAGAAAAATTCCACAGAGAGAAATATTTAGATTTGCATTAAAACCTCTTGGCAAGTCAGTCAGTTCTACAACAAGCCCTCTAAATCAGTCCCAGCTGTAAAGAAGAAGAATGCAGATTGTCATGAATGTTTACTTAACTAGTGAATAAAAAATTAGCAGCAGGCCCAGTTAATAAGCCAAATTGGCACACTCTTTCATGGACAGATGCTTTTAAACTTCCTATGGCTTAATACAGATATTACAACAAATACAACAAACTGTATTCCAATACATATGAAAGTTCTATATTTACTGAAAATATTTTGAAGCATGAGATGAATATGAAAGATCTGCTTCTTACACTGAATCAAAAGCAAGTCCTTACACATTGCCTAGTATGAAGGCATTCTGGCTATGGCAAGAAATGATGGTTTGTAATTATCTGTTTGGTTCTAATCTCATTTATGAGTAGTGGGTATGTAAGACACTGGGAGTCGTCAATGACTAGAGCAAAATAGAAGATAAGTTACTCTCATCCCCAGGAAGAGGCAATGGCAAAACATTTCCAAAAAATATTACCAAAGGAACATGGCCTTGTCCATGTACAGTAATCACCAGGAGTCGAGAATGACTCAAAGACATCATATCAAATCAAATCAAATCAAATCAAATCAAATCATCAGCAATCAAGCAATTAAGTAAGCAAGCAACAATACTGAGGTATATAATCAACAGTCACCCCCACCCCACCATGCTATTACTGAACATCATAACGACACATGATTTGCAAGCTCTTCCTGTATTGTGTAGGCTAGACTATCAGTGTACAGTCATACTTGTTACATACATTAAAACTCATAAAAACTGTGCTATAAACTGCTCTTTTTTCCTCTCTTAGTAAACTGCCCTCTCCCGGTTTGAATATAAGAACAGAAACTGCAAGATAAAAGTCCTTAAAACATGAGATAAATTCAGTGAGCATTCCAACACTTGGCTACTTTGCTCCAACTGTGCTTACCTCTCCATGCTCCTATGCATGAGGAATGGTGGCTGAGGAGGAAGGCCCAGAATATTTCGGGGGCGTGATGGATGTGTGTGATGTTGGGGTGAGTTTTCCAAAGAGGAAGGACGGCTGCTGCCATCATTGGCTAAGGGAAGCTGCAATGCTAAGAAGGAAGAGAAGTGTTAGACAAAAGAACAGTAACCACATCAGGAATTCCTAGGCTGAATCCTTTTGCCGTGTAAGACGCAATGAATTTGAATTCCTAGAAAATGTTTTTTATTATCCTGACTTCTCACTTATCAGCTTAGTCTTGCTAAGTTGTTTCCAAATATCAAATACCATGACTACTTTTGCACAGTAAATCCATGTGTGCAAACCAGAGCTTTCAACTACATCATCATGAAGATGGCTCTATCTTGGTAAAGAACCAGTTTTCTTCTATGCTGCTGGAAAGACTGGCCAGACCTAATATTAACTGCAAAGAATTGTAAACAATGAATGCATTCCTGTATTATTATCTGCTTCCGGATTTTCTTTTTTTTTTGAAGCAAATGGATGATTGTTCAAAATTTAATTCTGAAAACCTTTGCTTAAGCCTCTGCTTTAAGTAACAACATACACAGTAGCTCCATCATGCCTTGTCCCTTCCAATTATAGTCAGCTCTTAAACTGAAAAACTACCATTTTTAAGGATTATACAAAAACTATTCTAGTATGGAGCTGACTACAAGAACTCTTATATTGTGGATAACTGTTGAAGAAAGGCAACAGAAAATTAAAAACTAACTTATCTTTTCAAAACAGTTATCTGCCCAAAACAAGTACTATAGCTTAATCAATTTGACATCTCCTATGCTAGAATATATTATATAATATTAAATTATACTCGAACTGCATAGTTAAGCTAGTAACTTTAGACAAAGGCAAAAAAAAGAAATCATGCTTCATAGGCAACAAACGTTAGCAGTTGAATAGATCCGATATGTTTTCACTAAGGAATGTAAAATTATTTGATATTTCCAAATGGATCTTGTACTTCTATATATGATTTGTCCCTTTTCTATCTAAATGGAATTTAATTCAAAACCAGAAATAAAAAAAATGGATGTAAAATGAAGCAATGTGAATTGCCAGAATAAAAAAGTCTTATCTATATATTCTAGTCTGCCTTTATTTGACCTAGACATGAGGCAATGTTTAATCAAACAAGCGAAACATCCCCAAGAACTGCACTAGAGATTTTTTAGGATGTGGTGCAGTTCATATTTTTGAAGAAAATTTTCTTTCTTTGATTATGTGGTACAGTATCCTAATACTATAGCCAAGGTTATACTAGTTATCATATCATGCTGTGGATTAAAACTATCCTCACTTTAAATGTTATCAGTAGGCTTTTTTTTTTTACTTCTCTATGGAATCCAAGTGATCAATAAACCATTATGAGCCCAATCAGAAAGTTATTATATTACTCCTTTGATATCAGAGCAGGGGTTTGGTTCTAATTTTACTCATAATTCAACAGTATTTCTAGCATTAAAGTCTGCAAAGCATATTTGGGAGATGTTGGGACACAAATTTAATTTTCATTCTTATTCACATAATAAACTTACACTTTGTGATAATCCCAGTTTGAAAATAGAAGGTAAATCTCTTTTTCCCCAAATTCATAATCTAATTTTGGAATTCATGAGTTAAACATTGGATTTACCACAAGAGAAATTTGGAGTGCCTAAAATGAGGACTGGAGCATAACCAATTAAAATATCTTTTGATTTCACAATTTGGTCCAGATGCCTTAGCATCATCTGAAATTCCTGAATTACTAACAACAGTGAAATGCATTTCAGATTATTCTAAATCTACCTGTATTTTCACAGGCAGTTAAAAGAGAACTATTGAGGTGGATATTAATTATCTGCAAAAAAATTGGGATAAAGTGACAGAAAACCTATCTTAATAAGTACATGAATAAGAATCTTAAACAATGTTTCTTATAAATTTAATATGAGATAAATTCAACAAAAAAAAAATCTCCTGAAAAGCTCAGAGAATCTTCAAAAAGGATAGGCTGTTAACATCATTGTAAAATAATAAAAGGGACACTTACATATCTGATATTGACTCATTCTGTTTTGTTTAATATCCCTAAATTTGTTAATATGGTTTTAAGAAGAAGAATATGGTTTAAAGATGTGAATGTAATTTTGAATTATGTAACAAAAAATTACAATTTATCAATATATGAAGAAGTACAAATTTATTGAGCAGAGCAGAGCAAAGAAGACAGTCTATTACAATGGAGAGGCAGTGCCACCCCAGATCTGCAAGCTCAGATTGATTATATTTGTTTACTCTCTCCTTATGAACCAGCTCCTGAGCCAAATAATGGAAAAACTAATCAATATTATACAAGGCAACAGGGGCCAGTTGCGTGGAGTCCCCTTTTGGATATTTGTGTTTGGTTGCCATTTTATATTTTGGATTTTATATTTATGTGCACATTTTAATATTATGAGATTTGGAATTTTGTGGGGCTTTTGGGGGGGTATTTTTTTTTCCATACTGAATGCTTAAAAACACAAATAACAATGATACCCAATAAATATGTAATCAGCAGCCAAGGTAAAAACCCATCTGAACCATTAACACAACCACCCCACAGGCTCTGTCACATATTCCAACCCTATGTGCAGTGGCGTAACCAGGTCTTTGAAGCTGTACGAAAGGCCACCAGGATTGGGGCTAATCTAATCTCCAGGAGAATGATGTTCCAAAGAGTTGGCACCATGACAGAAAAAGGTCTCTTCCTGGATCCCACCAGATGACATTCTTTAATGGACAGGACCTACAGCATACCTCTCCTGCTGGATCTGATGGGATGGATAGACACAATCAGGGAGAGACAATCCCTCAAATTACCTGGCCCCATCCTATTAAGGGCTTTATAAGTAACTGCAACCACTTGAATTGAACCCAGAAACACACTGGTAACTAGTGCAGCTCGTTGAGTGGAGATGGAATATGAATCAATCAGAAAGCGGACATAACTGCCTGGACCACTACATCCTGCACCAGCTGCAGCTTCAGATGCTCTTCAAGGGCAGGCCCATGAAAAGTGCACTGCAGTAGTCCATTCAGGAGATGATTAAGGCATGAATGACTGTGACCAGAGCCTCTTGGCCCAGGAATGGGTGTAACTGGCACATACCACAACTGTGCAAAAACCCTCCTGGCCATGGCTGCCAACTGCTCCTTGAACAGACTTCAACAATAGAGGCTGAGGCAAATCACTGGCTTCCAAACAAGAACATAAGTATTGAAAAGAACAAGGTTGATCAATTGCATTAATTAATGCCATTCATTTTCTCTTTAAAAAAATCTCTGTTGGATAAAGAGAATTCTATCAACACACCAAATGTTATGAAAGTTTTTGTAAGAACACTGACCCTCTATTAGAAAAGACAACAACATATACTACTAAAACAGTTCTAAATATATCCTTAAACTTTACAACTGTAGTGTAAAGTATTATAACCATATTAGAAATAGGGAAATAAGTTCTGAGGCTCAGATTTCTTTACATTCAGATTAATGCTGTCCAGAGTCATTGTTGAATGGGGCAGTGTCAGAAATCTAAATTATAAATGAATAAATAATCTCTCATTATCACATATGATCTGACCCACAAGAGTAAAGCTGAAAAGAAAATTGGAATGAAGACAATATAATAGAGATATAATTTAGGAGTACAATTTCAAATGCCCAGGGAATCCATCTATTTAATGAGTTCAGGTTTCAGAAAAACAGTAAATATGAAATAGATGGCTGTATCTGTTGACTATTATGCAAGAAGTTGTTGCATAAGTGTTAGAAAAAGCTAATGAATTAGGGCATCAAAATAACTGAGGAATTATCATCCAATTTCAATAAACTCCAGAAAGAAACCTTCCCTGGCTAGAAAAATTAGAGAGAGCTGCTTATATCTGGAAAAAAAATAAATAAATGCATCTACGCTCAATATTAGAGCTAGTTTAGTATAGTGGTTCAAAACTGGGCTAGAAACTAGACCATGCATTCTAATCCTGCCTTAGGCACAAAGCCAGTTGGGTGACCTTAGGCCAGTCACTCTCTCTCAGCCCTAGGAAGAAAGCAATGGCAAACCACTTCTGAAAATCTTTCCAAGAAAACTGCAGGGATTAATCCATTGACTCAAAGGCATACACACATATAAAATTCTCAATACTGAAAAAAGGAAAACTCTCAGCAGACCTATTACTAAATGTATCTCTATCAATGTAGAAAAGGAGCTGATACAACCTGACACCTAAAAAAGTCAGTATACCACTTCTGAAAATCTTTCCAAGAAAACTGCAGGGATTAATCCATTGACTCAAAGGCATACACACATATAAAATTCTCAATACTGAAAAAAGGAAAACTCTCAGCAGACCTATTACTAAATGTATCTCTATCAATGTAGAAAAGGAGCTGATACAACCTGACACCTAAAAAAGTCAGTATAAAGGAAATAAACGAATGGAACAATATGCTACTAAGATTCAAGATACAACTTTTATTTTAACATCAGAAAGATAAAAGTGAAAGGATAAATGTCAAAGGATAAACATATTAAAACCTTGTCCTTGGCATGCCCCTTTATGACCTTCTTGATTAGCTATCCTTTCTTTCTTGCCATATGCTCATTACCTAAATCTCCACTTTCTTCATTTGGACAATCCAAGTCCTTTTCATATTAGATGAAAATAATACTGCCAATATAGTGGTAATCTTATATGACTCTATAATATGACTACATTGGAATGCTACATACAGTTCCAGTTATCGCACCTCAAAAGGAGAGAGTTGGAAAAAGTTCAATAAAAGGGAAGACCCCAATCAGGAAAAGTTACAGGTTTGGGGTCTTTTTAGCTCTAAAGAGAGATAAGCACCTGTAGCCCTCTATACATTGCTGAACTATAAACCACAGCATATAAAATTTTAGAGAGATTAGCTCTCTTTTTCTTTTTTGTAATTTATTGGCTCAGTGTCTCACTGGGTTTATTTAAATAAATTGAAATGTTTGTTGAAAACCTAAAAAAGGGTGGTGGTGGAAATAATATTGCCCACCCTACCCACCCGCATGCACACACACTGATCTTACTA